TGATCATGAACCACTTCAAAATTTTCATAAAAAACAAATTAATAATAAACGTATTATAAATTGGATTTTTAAATTACAAGATATTTTACCAGAAATAATTGCCGTCAAATATCGTAATGGTTCTAATAACACAGCTGCTGATTACATTTCGCGACACTTTCCGTCTTCAAATGTGATCAGTAATTCTACAATTCTCGCTGAACAAACCGATGACTGGTCTGTTGGTACTGAACAATGGTTCGAAGACTTGCCAAAACCTCAACGATTAAGATTCGCTACATCATTCATCAACACAACCAATTCAACAATTAATGCTTTTACTACACCACAATCTTCAGCTCCATCTCCAACATCAGAGTATCTACATTTTGATTTCAGTCTATCACGTATACGTTTTGAACAAGAACAAGACCCGGTGATTCAACAAATAATTCAGAACCTTTATAATAAATCAGATAAGCGAAACTTTACTCTAAAAAACAATGTTCTTTATAAATTAGTTTCTCATGGACTAACCAATATCAAAGTAATTTATGTCCCGTCAAAACTTATCCCTGAAATACTTCAATCACATCACGATCATCCTTTAAGTGGACATTTTGGCGTTGAACGTACATGGTTTCTGTTAAAAAATAAGTACAATTGGCCACATATGAGAACAATGATTACATCTTATATAAAATCCTGTGAAAAATGTTCGAAATACAGCGTTGATCGTCATAAACCCTCTGGATTTTTACAACCAATTGAACCACCGGCCGACGTTTTTCAAATACTGGGTATGGATTGGTGGGGACCTGCTCAAACTTCGATTAATGGAAATCGATACATATTGGTTATAACAGATCGATTATCAAGTTACGTTTTTGCTACAGCATCACCAACAAATACTGCCCAAGATACGGCCCGTATTCTACTTGAAGAAGTAATACTAGTTCATGGATCTCCTGATATCGTTATTACGGACCAAGTAACGCATTTCAGCAATGAATTACTACAATATATTACTAATTTAATCGGTTGCAAACATATTTTTCCAACACCATACTATCCACAAACCAACAGACAAACTGAACGATGGAATTCAACATTTGTCACACAACTCGCTAAATTTTGTAATGATGATCACAATAATTGGGATACTTATTTACCATCTATTGTTTATGCTTACAATAATGGTGTTCATCACTCTAGTGGGTTTACTCCTTAGCAACTGGCATTTGGTCGAAGACCGCGCCATCCGTTTGATCCTGCACAATCAACCTTTGATTTAAAAAACCGCACGATTATTGGACACAAATCATTAAATATCGTAGTGTCGCATTAAAACAGGCTAAAGACAATATCATACATCAACAGCTCTTGTCAAAATAACATTTCGATAAAAATCGATCATACCCGATATATCACATCAATGACCTCGTTTGGATGAAAAATTTTTCGAATAGAACTAAATTTGACGCTCGATATACTGGCCCTGTTCGAATCGCTCGAGTCCTTTCTCCAGTTTCATATATTGTTGAAGATCAAGACCTCCGGCAGTTTTAAGTACACTCGAACAATATCAAACGTGTTTATCCACGTTAGTATGTCACGCTTTGACTATTTTTTTATCATAACATTCAACCAGGCCTACGTACATAATCACACGTCGTTTTTTTCCTGAAATTCTGTTCTTATCAGTATTTATGAATTTCAGTCATTTATACTTCCATAACAAAAACAACATAGCATCCAAATTTTCTTTTCATGATTCTTTGCTACGCTTATTCGCTCCATTACATTCTTTTCGTCAATCGGCTTACGTCTGTCGCTTATTATATTTTTTTCTCTTCTTGCTCTCCATCTTTTTACTTTTAATCGTTTCGTGAATCTTTTATGTTTTTTTCTCGTTTACGCTTAGTTACATATATACTTGCTCTTCAGTAAGACTCTTTTGCAGGGGGGGACGTGTTATGTCAGGAGATGTCTCTCATGACATAAGAATGCCATCTCTATACTGATATAATCGTCTCACATTGGATTATAACTGTTCTATTATTCGTCTAATGATATTCGTCATGGTGGATAAATGATAATAGAGAATGGCGAAGAGAAAGATAGAGAGAACACATTTTTTTGTTTGTTTTTTGGTGAATTCATTCGAATTTTGTTTGGTAAAAGAAAAGATCAAGAATAAACGAGATAAAGTTATAACAAAACTGGTATCAGCTAATAGAACTGGTGCATCCCTATAAAATATTCGTTTGCAAACATCACTTTATTTTTTATGTTTCCCACAAAAGCCGACAAGATGTCTATATGATACCAATATTTTTACTTTAGTATGATACATTTTGTTTGACTGATCGTTCCACTTTTTGATTACAACGCATAAGATACATAATTCAATGTGCAGACCAAGTCATTTAGGCTTGATGCATGTGACAATCGGCTTAGCCGGTGTGAAAGGAGCCTACCAGCAACGCTATGAATGTTAGAAAGTTTTGGATTTTTTTCTAGCAAAGATTTTTTGGTTACATCAGTTTCCGAGCACGATACTACAGCTTCCCCTTCAGTGATATGTTGGATCTCTCCAAGCTCACTGTTTGCAATCAGCTGCATACCACTCTTTTAACAACTCATGCCAAACTTTTTTAAAGTATTATGAAGACAACAATTGAAAAAAAATGTTAAAAAGTTCATTGGAATGTCACTTAAAATAAATCTTCTACGAAGTACCTCTTGCTGCAACATGGTCAAAATTAAGTCTATAATAGGCATTATGAAGTGCCATTAGCTCCTTGTGGGTACCACTTTCAAGCAAGCATCCATCCGCACTGAACATACAAATTAAATCACACGATTGAATGGTGGTAAGGCGATGGGCAACGATGATAACAGTACATGAAGGATCATCTTGACGTGCGATATTGAGTGATTCTTGTACAAGCTAAAGAAAAGTTGTTAGCGCAGTCCTTCGGAGATTAAAAATGTGAAACACGACATAATCACTGCAGGAAATCACATGGAGATGGTGTATTCAAGGAAGTTCTTTGTTGATTTGGTGAGACAACTAGTTTGCCGCTATCAGTGATGATCAGCGCTAGACTGAAACAGTGTCTCTGATGGGCTGTGGTAGGTCTGAAGATTGTCTGTCACGTTGTGTGATGGTCTCTGAAGATTTTGTCTAACAGTCTGTGATGAGTAAATTACCTGTCAGTAATGGTCTGTGGGAGGAAACTGATGTAACCAAAAAATCTTTGCTAGAAAAAAAATCCAAAACTTTCTAACATTCATAGCGTTGCTGGTAGGCTCCTTTCACACCGGCTAAGCCGATTGNGGGGGGGGGGGGGGGCGCCCCGTGCAAGATTTCTATCTTAAACATTTCAACACTCCTTTCAGGTCGTGCTTCACAAAAAGAAAAAACCTCGTTAGCACAGCTCCGTTGGGGCTAGAACGTGGAACGCCCATATTTCGTATAACCCAGCAGATAATTTGGTACAAGGTTCTTTACGTAATGAAATATATTTTTAAAATTTTGCAAAGAAACAAGCCAAATATTGAAAGGTTATGGGCAAAAAGAGTAATTTGCTGATTAATATTGATAATTGAGATAAAAACAATGTCAAATATTTTTTAAAAGTTAACATGCTTAACCACATTTAACACTGCTCATGAAAGTTTGCCATGGTGAGTTTTCTGCAATGAAGGGGGAGGGATGAGTGGCCAGCAGCAAAAACTTCACCTTAAAACTTACACTCACTATTTTATTCGAAAATGTATGCTCGTTCCACAAAAACATAATTCTTTCACTAGCTCGATTAGAATGAATGCAAAAATCTTTCTTTTTTGCTATGCTCTTTGAACCAAGGTTTAATTACATGTTGGAGATCCGTACGAAATTCAGCAATTTCATTGTTAGTGGTTGTTTGCTTAAATCGCTGCTATGTGCTGGTTATTTTAATTTTCGTTCGTTTTTCATATTTGTCTTTATTTTATTTTATTATATTATAATGGTAATTATTGAGGGTGGGTGGCGAATAAGCGTGTTATACAACATATTCAGTGTATTTACAGCAAATATGAAGGAACTATTCTGTACCCTGATCAACTCAGAAACATTGACTCTGACTTTTCTTTTAAGTAACAACATGGTCAAATAATTCCGTTGATAATGATCATGTTAAGACTGGCAAATCAATGTATAATTGGCCATCACTTTTCACATATTAAATACCAAGTTTTATTTATGCAAAAAATTAGAAACTGCCTTATTGAGCATATTGACAAAAGCATTCTTCTCATTCAAATCTCGACAAAGACCTAGAAATATTCCAAAAAACAATCCAAGTCTTGTCATCTATGCTGTTCAGTGTCCTTTTCGTTGCTACTGAACTCACAACAAGGTGTATAATGCTTGTGCTATTTGCGATTACCATTGTCTTTAATGAGAAGGAAGGAGAGTCTGACAGCTTTGTTTTGAAATCTACACTCGCTATTTTCTTCGAACATACGTGCAAATTGCACAAAATTCAATAAATTGCAGTCATAACATGTACCTGTTCATTTTGCATGTCGAGTGCACTGGTTGCTTCGTCTAATAACAAAATTTTGGGATTGCGAAAGAGAGCCCGAGCAATCGCAATGCGTTGCTTTTGACCACCAGAAAAGTAGAAAATACCATTACATCCAACAGATGACTGGTAACCCTATGAATCAGATGAACAAAACACTGTATTTCAGTCTCAAATTCGTAAACATAACAGACCTGAGGTAAAGCTTCGATAAAGTCATGACAATGTGCTCGCTTTGCAGCACGAATAATATCTTCATGAGTAAAATCAGTTGACGCTTGTCCATATGCGATATTTTCTGCAACAGTGAGATCGCATACGAGAGCCGGCTCTTGACTGACAAGACCAATTTGTGATCTTAACCAAGACAAACTCAGTGTTTGTGTATTATGACCGTCAAGTAGCTAATGATAATACAGAAATATAAGAAATACTTTGAATTCAAAGAGGAACCCACGAAAAAATAAATCGTATCAGATAGCGTTTCAACGTGAACTTTCAGAAGAAAACGCTATTTTATCGTTTTAACGAATCGTTTTCTCTCTCTAACGCATTCAAACGCATGGTTTTGTGTATGTAACACGTTGAAGTGCATTCTCTTTTATTTACAACGGGCTTTTTCAAGTTAAAATACAACTTTAAAACATCGTTGAAACGCGTTTTTATCTATGCATTTATATTTTTTTGATTTGCCCTGCTTCTCAAGTCAGTGAGTTTTTATCAACGAGTTTTTTTTCTTGAGAAAAGCTTTTTTTGATAGACATTAGAACATACATATTTTAACCCTTCCCTCCCCTCTCCCCCCTCCGTGGCTCATTTTTGACCCATTCGTAGAAAGTTTGCAGCAAATAAAGAAAGCTTGGTATTCAAAAACTCACAAGACAGTATTTGTAGGGAACTCCATGGGCTATCGATTGGTAAAAAACTAATGTTTTGTTCATCACTCCTTAGCTGAGATATTTGCGCCTGAAAATGATGAATTTTCAAAAAAGTGAAAAAATTTGATTTTTGATTTTTTTTGTTTTTCTTAACTCCACAGATGAATTATTTTTCCGTTTCGGCACTAGATATATACTATTATAGATGTCATCTATTTGATGGCAAGCGTTTGAAAATTTCTTGTTTAGCGATGTGGTAACAGTGTCCTTCAGGACAACTGGGGTAATTTTTGACCCATCGGTAGTGGGCGACATAAAAGGTGGCGTTTCATAGCTATTTTATTTCATTGTAAAATATGAATTAGCAATATATTCATGTCTAAAGCTTTCATAGAACTAACAAGCAGCCAAAAAAGGCAATCCGTGGTCATTTCTGAATACCTTTTTTTTATCGATTAAAGGGTAGAAATCCGTAGTTTTTGTTATAACCTTCCTTTTGAACCAGACCAAAACAATAGGAATGGTTGATTTCGAAGCACAATCAGGACCGACGATTCCGTATTACAAAAAGAAAATGATTATTGACAATTCCAATACGATTCTCGAAATAAAAGACCTAATCACAACCCAAAACAGTCATCTTTACCGATGTCTAACCATATGTTATCTCCAACATGACACATTTTTCAAAAAATAATTCAATATAGATATATTTCCAGCTTTATACAAATAAAATAAACACAAAATTGTGAAAAACTATGAAAAAATTAGATCAACAAAAAATCCGATTTTTACGTCATTCAATCTCGATGGGTCAAAAATGACGCATTCTACATCTCCACAGTGGAATGACTTCGTTCAAATCTAACTATACCAATGTCATATTGAGCACTTATATAAGCCATTTTCATAGTCGATTCAACAACAGCTCTGCTGGATCAGTGCCGGGGGTAAAGGCTTTTATCTACATTTTCAACTATACAATGATTACGTAAAAGTCTAGTGGTCTTTATTCTCCTTCTAATAACTGAAATATTTATACTTAATTCTATTTAGAATTTTGTTTAAGTATTTCATGAAATGAAAATGTAACTAAATGAGTCGCTAATTATCTACTATATCGAAGATTAGAATATTGAAACAACTGAAAGCAAAAATCGCTGAAAAAGTCACAATTAATATTATGAAAATACTAGAATTGAGCCATTTATATTCTAAAACACTATTAGGCCTTAAAAAATGGCTGCAAAAATAATTTTAAATGTTTTTGTGCGGAACTACTTTAAATTATTTTAAAAGTCGATTCAATATATAAAGACATTCCATCTCTATATTGGTAACAGTAAATTTGACTCAATAGCATCAAGTAAATGAAATTCGAAGTCCATAGTTCGAATCTGTTCTACATCGGAATGGATAAGTATATTTAATAATAAAAAGGCATTCAAAGAAATCTCGTTTCGGCGCGGTATTTGAACGCGTTGGAAAAAGTGCGCTTTAACTCTAGCGAAAACATATGAACAAAATAAACAACGCGTTCAAACGCAGATTTCGGTGCATTGTTTTTTGTGAGAACTATCAGATTCTTTTGAGAAATGTGCGCATCTTTATTCCATGAAATGGAACTAGCTGAATAGTATGTTCATATCCAATCACTGTTATGATCTGTGTATGCACACACAGATCATAAGCATCATCTATCTTTCTTTCTCCTATTGTCTTCTACACATTATTATGTATTCTTTATCTCATTGGAGATAATTGAATACGAGTATATCTGTCCCTGTGATTATTATGTTTCAGAGTTCTTGTTTATTATTGTTAAAGTGTATGTTATCGAACCTGCTAATAAAGAAGTGAAACTACACCTTAACAATTGGCGACCCTGGTTTAAAAATATATATATATATATAAATATATAAAAAATTAAAAAAAACAAAAAACGTCTAAGATGACTGACATTCATGAAGAAAAACAACGAATTTCGGATATTAGCGAAAACGCAGTGTTTATTGTTCAACGCATTATTGATCATCGTTTTCGCAATGGTCGAAAAGAATTTTTGATTGCATGGAAAGGTTATCCTGATGAACAAAATACTTGGGAACCTCAACAAAATTTAGATTGTCCAGATATGATAACGGAATATGAAACACATATTTTACAGCAATCTCGTTATATGAATCCTGATACATCATCTCTTCCACAACAAAAAAATGTTGAAGATAAATTTCAAGACTTTACTCTACAACGTGAAACAAATTTCGGTGATAAATTATCGGTATTAGATTGTGTTCTTCAACATGTTACATTATTTTCTGGTACTGAAAATGCTCGACAATGGTTCACCAAACTTGATTCAAAATTATGTGAACTTCATTTATCTCTTATTGATCGTCTTGAAATTCTTCCAAATCTTTTCACCTGTGATGCAATGATTTGGTTTAGTATAAATAAAGATAAGTTTAAATCTTATACTGATTTTTGTCGACTTTTTGCATTTACATATTTTAAATTCGAACAATCCTCTAACAATACCATGATAGAACCACAAAATAAAATTTCATCAATGCTTTCATCTGCCATAATTAATAATGCATCACTAGATATTTCTCCTGATTGTTTGATTAATCCATCTGCTTCAGCTGTTTGTTTTAATAAATCACAAGGATCTACTGCCAATGATATCTCTAATTCTATTTTATCAACTACTATTTGTAAAGCATTGATTGATAAATTTGTTAAAGATCCAATTAAATTTCATGGTGGTAAAGACAATATTTATCGATGGATTGATGAAATTGATCACCAATTCAAAATCATGAATTTATGTGATTCAGATAAATTAAATCTAATTCATATATGTCTTAAAGGTGAAGCTTATCAATGGTTTCAACAACAACCAATGCCATTTACATCATGGTCTAACTTTATTGCAGAAATTATTAAATCGTTTAGTTCTAATTTACAACGAGATGTAGCATTTAAAAAATTGAAATTGTACCAACAAACCACTCATCAATCGGCAACCCAATACTATATTGAGATGATAAAGTTAATGCAACAAGCAGATCCACAAATGAACGAGTCAACAAAAATTCACTATCTGATGAATGGCCTTCGTCAATCATTATGCACTGAAACACGACGAAATTACCCAACATCAACCCAAGGTTTTCTACAACAAGTTAAAAATTGCTGAAGAACTTACAGCATTAAATACTACTTTTACCTCCACTTCCATTGATAATGATGATATCACACCGTATGATTCTTTTTCGTATTCAACAACATCATCTTACCCAACAGCAAATAATTCAAAAACTTCTGAGTCTCAACATTCTTTACATAAAAATTTTAATACATCGTATCATTATCTACCTCAACGTAATCACTATTCTCGTGTATCTGGTCAAGCAGCTGATATTAATTCATCAGCAAAATTTATACCTCCTTTACTTGCTAATAATACATCTCAACGAAACAATAATTCATATCGTAATAATACTAATAATCATCAGTATCGAAATTATCAACAACAACAGCAAAAATCATTTCAAGGGTGTTTTAGATGTAGTTCACTAGATCATATCGCTCGTGATTGTCACCATTTCGAAAAACGAAGTCAATGATTGATGGTGTTGGCTTCGTTTCGTCATCAAAATATCCATCAAATTCTTCCTTAGTTCTATTTACGACATATGTTAATAATAATGAAATGCAAATTATGATAGATACTGGTGCACAAAATTCTTTTGTTCATGAACGAAATTTAACACTTAATGATAAATTTAAATCTTCTACTATACCTCAACAAAAATTTTATATGGCTGATGGATTAACATCATTTATTGTTACTGGAACAGTTACATTGAATATTTTTATTGGTGATATTTTAACATCGATTTTAGCATATGTGACAAAAAATTTATGTGCTGATCTAATACTAGGCATGGACTATCTTTTAAAGTATGATTTAGAAATAAAACCAAAAAAGAAAATTATACTATTTTATTTGCACGACAAGGCAATCACGATGCCCATCGACAACGAAAGCACTTCATTTTATTTTACTAACCCCTCATCACATTCTGAACGAATGAGACATGATAATCAATTAAATACTATAGCAACGTCATCGTCCTCTCATACACCTGAACTAGCTATTAACCATTTATTGCACCATCTTACTGATCAAGTTGAATACCACACACTTCAAGTATTATTATATAAATTTAAATCTATATTTGATCATAATACGTTTACAGTTGCAACCACACAAATGTCTCATGTTATTGAAACTCATCCACATACTCCACCGGTCTCCAAATAGTATCCTGGTAATCGCACTTCCAATTCAGAAATGCATTTAATTATTACTAAATTACTACATTCTGGATTAATACGTGAATCTCAATCATCTTATGCAGCTCCCGCCTTATTAATAAAAAAAAAGATAACACTTGGCGATTAGTTATTGATTACAAAAAGTTAAACGCCATTACCATTAAGGATAATTATCCACTTCCAAACATGGAACTCGCATTAAAAACATTAGGTGCCGGTTATCATTTTTTTTCCAAACTCGATTTAAAATCTGGATTTTGGCAATTTCCTATAAATGCCAAAGATCGTTTTAAGGCCGCATTTATCACGCCTTTTGGATTATACGAGTGGAACGTTCTTCCTCAAGGTCTTCGTAATGCTCCTCTGAGTTTTCAACGTATTATGAACAAAGTATTATCGTCTTGCATTGATTTCTCCTTGGTTTATTTAGATGACATCATCATTTTTTCTCGCACTTATCGCGAACATTTACTTCATCTTGAAAAGGTTTTAAATGGCTTAAAATTACATAATTTAACATTAAATTCAATGAAATGTCAAATAGCCCAGCAAACAATTGCATATCTAGGACATGTTATTAGTTCAAAAACAATAACTCCTTTACCTGAAAAAATTAAATCTATCGTTCTACTTCCTGAACCTAAATCTCTAGCACAAGCAAATCGATTTATTGGAGGACTTTCATGGTATAGAAAGTTTATTCCACAATTTGCCAGTATTGCAGCATCTATCCATGCAGTAACTAATCTTTCAAAATCACAGCGATACAAATTTAAATGGGGTGATGATCAATCTAAATCTTTTTATGATTTAAAAAATGTCTTAACTTCCCGACCATTAATGTTAGATTTTCCTGATGATACACAACCGATTTTATTATCCACTAATGATTCTAAAGCGGGATTAGGTGGAATTCTTTACCAAGAAATTAATGATGTTATACGTATTCTATATTATCATTCGGAATTATTATCTTCATCACAAAACGTTTTCATCCTATTGAACTTGAAGCACTAGCTATTTTTAAATGCATTACATCGAATGAAATCTTTTTTGCTCGGTCGGGATATTATTATTTTTACTGATAATTGTCCACTTTTTCATATGATGGATAAGAAAATTTTAAACAAACGCTTTGAAAAAAACTCATTCTTGTTCCAGGAATTCAATATTACACAAATTATACATGTCCAAGGGGGAAAATAATTGCCTACCAGATTATCTCTCTCACCATTCTATTTCATAGAACGATGAATTGCTTGATTCTGAATATGGATTAGGATTTCGACATGATAAATCCTCTTCTGTTCAATTCATTGGTGCGACGGTAACTCGATCAAAAACTAGAGAACCATCAACTAATGTTTCTTCATGTTCATTACAACAACGGCAATCTTCTTCCGATCTATCTTCGTCTTCTATTATTAAACATTTTGACATTACACAATTACACAATTACAAGAACATCAAAATAATGATATTCGAATTCAAAAAATTGTTAATGATTTTAAACATAATCCACTTATTTCATTTGAGTTAAATGATGGAATCTTATATAAATTACAATCTAGTTCTCATGGTAAAGTCAAACGTAAATTAATCTACGTTCCATCTTCCATGATCAAATCATTACTTGTTTCTTATCATGATAATCCTTTTATTGGTGGTCATTTTGCTATTCGTAGAACATTACACAAGCTTCAACACCAATATTGGTGGCCCAATATATAACAATCCGTTATTGATCACATAAAATCTTGCATTGTTTGCCAAGCTTATAATACAAGTCGACAAAAACGTCCTGATTTTCTTCATCCTGTTCGTCCTTCTGATGGTGCTAATGAATTACTAGGGATCGACTTTTGTGGTCCATTTACTCCAACGTTTACTGATAATAGAGAAGTTTTATGTTTAAACAATTATTATACGAACTTTGTCACGGCTATACCCTTACCGACATGTTTAGCTCAAGTTACAGCCGAAGCTATTTTTAAAGAACATATATGTCGTTTTGGTGTACCTAAAGCAACCATTTCCGATCAAGGTACTAGCTTTAAAAATCAACTGATGTTCTCATTTGCACAGCTACTTGGTTATCATCATATATTTTGTACGCCCTACTGTAACGATAGATATGGGACCCTGTTGATTGATGTATTAAGACAAACTGTATAGAGGTGGAGTAGCTTACTGTCACTCACGGCAATGATGTTTATTCGCTTTTTCACATATCAAGAGTGTAACAACTTCATACATAACACACGTATATATAGGGGAGAGAGAGAGAGAGAGAGAGAGATAGAAGAGAGACAGGAAAAAGAACAGAAGGAAGAGGAAGGAGAATCATCGAAGCGTGTCACCAATATCGGCACACCTGACACCCCGAATCAAATGGGCAAGTAGGACGTTTTAATAGTACCTTCGTCACTCAACTTGCTAAATTAACTGATCAAGAACACAACACTTGGGATGAATATCTATATCCGATTGTACTTGCATACAATACCGGTATGCATGCAACAACGAATTTTACTGCATTTGAACTGACATTTGGTCGACCGGCTAGTTTTCCTACCGATCGTCTACCAACAACAATTACATTTTCTCATTCTCATGATTATTTGGATCAACTGGTTCGTAATTTAAAATACTATTATACAACAGTTAGGCAACGCATTAAACAACATGCTCAATCAAAAAATTCGATATGATCGTCGTCGTCCTGATCCACAATATGATTTAGCTACAGTGGTACTCACTAGAATATTTACAAATAGATCCAAATTAGATCCACAATTTTCATTAGATCCAAAAATTATTGTTAATCGTCAACATCCTATCTACCCAGGAGAGTCATTCGGACAGTAGGATCCTATCAGATTCCGACAAGGGGCAGGTCTTGAATACACCACATATTACATGGATTTTAATAAAACCGACGTAATCCTATAGGATTCCGGGATCAGGACCTACAGTCGGATCTATGATGTAGAAATCCCATAGGATCCAGTGTCGGAAATTGACGGAATCCAACATGAACGTATGACCCTAGTTTTCTTATGAGAAAATATGCATAATCGCCCCTAATTAAGAAAATAGTTTTTTCCATCAGAACCGACAGTCAATCCGTTACCCGGAATCCCATCGGATTCTGTTGGATGGTAGGATCCTACCAGATCCGATAGGATTCGTCGTAGGATTCATTCACCTCGGTATTGGGTAAAAGCTTTAAATTCTCCAACTATCTCTCGTATTCACATTAATGATATACGACCATTATCCACTCGTTCAAATGTTCCATCACATTAATCAATACATCTTGTGTTTTTAAAACACTTCATACGATGTGATATATACAAAAAACAGTTTTTATGACTTTTTTCTCTAGTCATGTTTGTCTACTGTTTTCTGTTATTTTTCTTCTTCCACTTCCTTTTGTTGTATCTTTTTGCTCTATGTATAAAAAAATAAAAGACAGCAGATGTTTCATTGTTTCTTTTTTTGTGTGACTGGGGGGGGGGGGGGGTTTGGTGGTNCCCCCCCCCCCCCCCCCCCCCCCCCCCCCCCCCCCCCCCCCCCCCCCCCCGCCGCCCCGTTATGATCTTGGCATATACACACAGATTATTAGCATAATCTACCCCGATGGTGCTAGCTTTCTTTCTCCTATTTTTCTCCACGCATATTATTATGTATTCCTTATCTCAGACGCAAACGTGACAGGCATCAATCGCTGCTTCTGAAATGCCTTCAATTTTTAGTCGAATGAAATCCGCCATGGATTTTTTTGTTTAATGTTTCATGCTCTCTACCTCTCGCTCTTTTAGCGCGTCCCTATTTTTCTTTTCTTTTCTTTTATTCTCATTTTCTCCTGTATTTTATTTTTCTTTTGTTTTTCCTTTTCGGGTTAATTACATGTATAATTCTATACATCACACTATCTAGTAAGCACTGCATCTTATGATTGTATGTTCTCTCTTCTGCATGTTTAATAGTTCACTGCCGTGATAATCAAACAGCTGTAAATTCTTACGCCAACTCTTGTAAGCACCTCCGAGTGTAACAATAAAAGAGCGAAATTTAAAAAAAAATTCTTATCTCATTGGAGATAATAGAAGACGAGCAAATATGTTCCTGTGTTTGTTTTGTTCTCGCCCTCCCTGGTATTATTATTGTTAAGGTGTATGTAATCGAACCTGCTAATAAAGAAGTGAAAGTACACCATAACAGACTCCCCATTTACATTGTATACGCCATGCAATATTTTACTTCTTTCATCAGTTTTTATATATATTTTTCTTCACTTTTCATTATCGAAACTATTTGACGAAAAATTATCGCTCTATTCAACCACTTTCAACTAATAAGTCATTTTTTTTCTTTATTGTTCTGCATAGATTTTCTTTCTTCTTTTCTTTCTTGTTATCAGCCTTTTTAATACCTCTGAATCAATTCTATTCTTGTTTCGTTTTTTGAGTAATAGTTTGATGTCATATCAGTTGTTCTCTTTCTCGTTTCTTTTTCATACTTTTTTCAATATGGTTTCATGCTTTTCTGTCAGATGCAGAAGATATTCTTGTAAAACACGTCTCCACGAATATGAATCAGTCTTGTCTCTTCGTTTATCCTTGCAATCTTGTCTTCCTTTAATCATTTCTCTCGTAGCTTCATCGTTTGTGTGCCAATGCAGCTCGGATTACTGAAGAAAGCATTTGCTTGTCCTCTAAAAACTTGCCAGAACTAAAAAAACATACGAACGCCAATGATTCTTCACATCACTCGTTCCTTAAACAGCCGTTCATATCACTGTAGAGATATTTTCTCAACAATCTAATTTTTCCTAAATAAATATATTTCTTTCTTTTCTTTTTGCCGTTCAATATCGAATACACATGAAGAATACTCCGAGTCTTGCTTTGACGACGTCCGACTCAGCGGACACTACTGATCCGAATGCATCATTGTTATCGACGCCCGAGCATTCACAGAATTCTAAACAAAAATCGGACGATCTTCTACAATCAATTGGCTTTCGTTCTATGATTATTTTTCAAATACTAGCATATGGATCGTATTCTATATTAGTGCATCTCTGCGAAAAAGATGGCGCTGTGGCTTTTTCATCAACAACGATGAATTTCGTTCTCGAATTTACTAAATTAATATTTTCATTTTCTGCTTTATTCTATTTTTCATCGGTTAACGTTGATGTTTCTCTAAGTAGAAAGCAAATTAGATCATGGTTGAAACAATCACTACCTTATTCAATACCGGGAATACTCTATTTTATTAATAATAATCTAGCTGTACATATGCAAGTTCAGATGGACCCAGCATCTTATCAAATTTTATCGAATTTCAAAATATTAACCACAGCTATTCTATACCGAATAATAATCAAGCAAAAGTTGACAAGAAGAAAATGGTTTGCACTATCACTATTGTTTTTTGGTGGACTTGCATATAGTATAGGTAACTATGCAAAATTTATCGATTTACAAAATATTCTACAAAAAGGAAAGAAAACTGAATGTCAATTAGGGAATACTTCAACATATATTCCTCGATTCCGTTATCCCACGGTTTCGATATTCTTCCAATTTGTTTCTTGATTCGTGTTTATTCCTCGATTATTTAGTGGTTTCATTTCTCTACACCAATATTGCAATTGTCCATTCAAAGTTAATTAAACGCTCTTTCGGAAAATATTATTAACTCATGAAGCTAGTCATGCTCATCGAAATTAGAAATGTACGTAATGTTACCATAAATTAACATAGCATATACGTCAAAGTAGACGAAAAAATTTCAGTTGTGATTACGGTTGTATTTTTAACATTCTCATTAGAAATATCTTTCAGATATAAAAAAAGACCGATTGTTGTCATGAAGTATTTTTGCTTGTTTTTCTACCACGAGTTTAAATTTTCGTCCCGATTTTTCTATTAATAACAAGGTGAGAACATAAAATAATGAAATTTGATTGCAATACTTTTTTTTTAATTTTCTACAATGCATAAGTATTACTTTTTCGTAGAGTAACAACTATTTTTTTTCTAAGATGACTGGAGTTTTTTCAATTACTTTTCAACGATGGAGAACTTAAGCGACTGTTTTCATTTGATTCTATTTCTTTTTTCTGTTAATGACTGCATTCAATGTATAATGATGTTTTTAGTGCTGCTTTTGAAGCATATATTTAGACGAGTAGGGTTGTAGTGAACAATTTAAGAAGATAAACAAGTATTGCACCAGATACTTGTTTTAGAATTATGATTTTAATCAAAGAAAAATTAATATTTTTGTAAGCACTAATGAATTCAGAACTAAAGCTGTCGCCTGAATACTGTAATCGATATTATGTAGTGCGCAATTATTCATGATGAATTTTCGACGAGATTTTTTGATATGACACTGGAAACAAATCCTAAGAAATAATCAAACTGTACTTGCAAGCGTATTCACATTATAGGATTGATTATTATTCAAAGTGAAGAATGTAGAGCGTTTCTTTGAACTGGTATAGATATTAGAATTTTTAAATTTAGGTACGTTGAAAAATTCATCGTATGTTTCGAAAAAAGTCACAACAACATCTATTATCATGCCCGAAATGTATATTCGTCCATTGGGTGTACCCATGATTGCTGTTTACTGTATATTTAGCGGTCTTGCAGGAGTATATAATGAATGGATTCTAAAAAAACACTATACTGAATCACTTCATCTCCAAAATATTTTTCTCTATACTTATGGAACTCTTCTGAATTTATTTCCAGCTGTTGCTTCTGCAGTGGCTAAATCCGGAAGTGGACATATATTTAATCCATTCGATGGTTTTTCATTTTACACTTGGCTAATTGTGTTAACACAAGCATTGAATGGTTTATTTATGTCTGTTGTAATAAAACATTCATCTAATATAATTCGTTTATTTGTTATTTCGTTTTCTTTAATAGTTACTTCATTTCTTTCGTGGTTCATTTTTCATATTACGTTTAATATGTATTTCTATGTTTCATTTCTAACGATGGGATGTGCGCTTTCACTTTATTATTCGAATTGAAGTTTTTGTTTTTTTTATAGAAATGTTTGTTTTTTCTTTGCCGAAATAACACGAGGTAATTGATTTGTGTCGAGTGTTACCTGAATATTTTCGAAATACTGTTGTTGTTCAATGAATAACTGTTCGATTTGGTGAGCATTGAATGGAGAACATTCAAATACGAGATATCCGTGATCGTTTAGCCATTCTTGTTTTGCACGATGAATAATTTCAGAATAGAACTTCAATGGTGGATCAACAAATAAAGCAATAGATGGTTCATGAAATATTCCTGCATCACAATAAGATACTTCGTCAGTTGGAATATAAGGAGGATTGGAAACAATCATGTTAAATGAAGTGTTCTGGAGAAATGCTGAATCAAATAGATCACCACGGTGAAACTGAATACTATGACAATGATGAAGATATGCATTGTTTCGAGCAACTCGAAGAGCAGACGAACTTATATCACATGCATGAATTTGCCAGTTTGGAAAAAGACGAGATAGAGTTATCGATAAACATCCACTTCCAGTGCCAATTTCAAGAATTGATTTCTCTAAAACAAGAAAATGTTGCAGTCTTATTTTTCTAAATATATTCAAAAATTTACTGTTTGTATCTTGTGCATAGAGTTGTTGTACATGACGAATGAGACATTCTGAATCTCGACGTGGAATGAGAACGTGTCTATTCACAATAAATAACCGATTGAAAAACATCGTCGAACCGCACAGATAATCAATTGGTACATTTCGGTGATATTGATTAATTAACGAACGAAAAATTCCAAATAATGACTTAGATTTTGAATAAGATAAATGAGATTGAGAGAGACGTTGTAGATATTGTGCACGGGCAAGTAACCAACGGTATACATCTGTCGTCGATGAGTTGATAATATTTCGGCGAAAAAGATAATTCAAAGAACGCATTTCAATAGAAACTATCGTTGATGTTTCGTTTAGTGGTTACTTGATAGATCCTATTGATATAGAAATTTGATCTAAATACAACGAAAGAGGTCGTTATGAATCAAATTACAACAAATCAGCGATCTACTTCAATAAATATCTTAGTCAAAGTTTTCTCGTTCAAATTTGACTACAATGGTATGAAAAAGATATAAGTTCGTTATTCAACTATGATACTATTGAATCAATACTAGATTTTTGATAATAAATAAAAAACATTTAATCACTATGATCTATACTGAATAAGTAACTATAAAAGTAAACTCTGCTAGTCTACAGTGCGACCAACTTCTTGGAATAAAAATATACATCTCTACTGTTGATCAGTGATAAGGAGGATAATTGACTACTAAAAAGAATACATAAAGAAAAATAACCATTTTTTATATATTACATAAGTATATTTTGTAAAAGGGTCTTTTATTCAATGAAGAATTTTTTCAAGTTTTATGAAGCACAAGATTATGCACAACACTAGGAAGGATAGATATGATGAGAATTTTAAAATAAAATAAAGCATCTTATCCATTATTAAGAACAATAATTAATCAGATTAGTATATCAGATCTAATGTGATAGATATTTCATTCATTTGATTTAGAATAAAATATGAAGATGACTGTTCTCAGAGCGTACATTTTATCCATGACTAACAGACTTTCATTGAAAATTTTATGCTAGTCAATAGAGCTGGATTTTATTATCGATTGAGTCAAAAATTAACAAAACTGAACTAATGAGATTTTAAAATATTCTACCTTAGTTTATTCGGAGAAGAATCAACTCAGGATTAGAAAACGCATCGGCCAATCTCCTGTATACAACTACTGTTGAAAGTTGTTGAAGTCCCTATTTGGTACAACGTGTAATACACACGGCGAAAAATATGGCACACCTATACGATAAACGATAATTACTATCAATTCATGAAATTGAATAGAACAATGTTGAAAAAAAGTCTTGATTATTTTAATCAGCTCTCGTTTTTCTAATATAATATCACAACCAGTTGCTTTTTCTTTATAACGGTCATCTAATCAAGAAAAGACAAAAAATTCTATATAGTTTTTCATTGAAATTTTTCTTGTAATTAATTGTTTATCTCTGCGAAAACGTTCTAATCGGTTAGAAATGAATTTTTCTTTTACCGACATTGCTATTAGGAATTATTATAAGCATTGAATTACTCGCTCGTCGTCTTTACAATCAGTAGGATATGAGTATGCACGAAAATAATAAATTACAACTTTTAAATGTATTAGAAACTTCCTAAATTCATTTTCCCCCTCAAAATCAATGAACAGGACTGAACAGGATTCAATAGTAAATTGTTATAGATTTTTAGTCATCGTTATGAATATCGTGACAAATAATAGTTGAAGCTATCTCTTCTCATTTTTTTATACCAATATAAATCAATAGATCCCAATGTGAAATTACATCATAGCAAAAATCAAACGTTTATCTTAGTTCCAATGACATTCAACAGTTCTTTTAAACAGCTCGTATTGAATATTTCAATCATTTTATTAAATGTATAGTTCAACAATCCAATATTATATTGAATCATTCTGTATTTAAATAGCTGCTCGTCATCGGTCACATTGAAAATGTAAGGAATTTTTTCGAGCAAGCCAATTTTATTGACGAAATATCATTTTTAGATGAATATATATATATGTATATATATATAGATAGATATAAGCAAACAAACATACAATTGAAAAAATTAGAATAAAATAGTATTTAATGTCTTTTATATTGCATCTTTTTGGTTTTTTTAAAGATCTTCAGCCTCAAATTTAGCCAATGGCGCAGCAGAATTTTTATTCATTGAGTCCATCATACTTGCTATATTATTTTTCATGATTTCATTCTCATCTGCATCTGGCTTCTTTTTGTTTACACCCGCAACTTTACGGAATGTGGACCACATAAAATCCATCATTTCATTTTTCTGTTGTGAAGCAGCTAGTTCTCGTTTAACATGTGCAAAGGAATCATTCAAACTATAGAAAGAAAACATTATCATATAAAATTATCTTATTGATCGATTCTACTTACATAGTCAAAAAGATACTAAGCAATGCCACGAAGACAAGAATAATAAAGGAAAGAAAATAAAATGAACCTAAAGATACAAAGCAAAAATAAATAAAAGAAAATATTTTTAATGAATGTTTTACGTTTCTATTGACTTACCATAGACTCGGCTGACAGCAAGCATATCCGGTGCATTAATTTCGCCCAAAAGCATTCGGAAGCAAGTTGTTAATGCAGTAAAAAAGCTCTTGTATGATTGAAGTGAACGACCAAATAAACCAAAACCCATATGTGCATATGCTACCATGAAAATAATAAATACAAATCCAAATGAACTTAAATCTTTTTGAGCATAACGAAGTGATTTTGATAGCATTCCCATACGTTTATTGAAACGAAGTAATTTCAAAAATTTAAGCATTGTAAAGAATGTTACTAATGCAACAATATATGAATATACTTCATCAAAACTTCCAATTGCATTAAAATTAACAAATTCACCTAAGAAAAACAAAAACCAATTGAGAATAGAAACGATAATCTTTTCTTTTGGTTTAATTGTATTTTTCCTTACCCATATCTGTTTTTCTTAATGATCGGATAGCTAATCGTGTTAACGTCTTTTTGGTTCCATACATTCCAATCGCTGTTACACTGAATAATGCAGTTAGAAATGAAATAATATTCCAGAATTTATCAAAATATTCTCTTCTTTGTTTAATTATTGATAATGTTTCATGTATAGCAGAATAAATTGTAAAAACAACGAATAGGAATTCAAATAAGTAAACAATAATACCATAACCACCGATATGATCGTATAAACGAAAAATTTTTATTTGATAATCTTGTATAACTGAACCCATGGATGTCATTTCAAAAGAAAGCGTAACAGCAACAAACAAATTAACATTTGCATTATAAAGTGAAAAATCGATGATAACTCCACGCGTCAGTTGATCGAGCCAATTTTGTGAACGAAGTTCTGTAATAACTGTCCGAGCTTTTTCACATGTTCGACCCAAAGATACGATATAACCACCTCCTTTATATGTTTTATAAATGGCTTTCATAGGACCGCTTTTTGTATGAGCGCTACTCTAAAAAATAAAGTAAACGAAAAATAAAGTAGGTGCCGTATTGATGCCAACATGAAGGAGATTACTGAAACTCTCATGAACGAATAGGATGATACATAAATAGTTTATTTACTAATACTGATATCTATAGTTGCTTAGTAGTCTAGTATTTTTTCGACATTGATTTTGTTTTATTCATCTTTATTGTATGGGAGATAATATTATGTAAGCTATCGAAGTCTATCAAAACAAACCGTCAATAAGTATAATATTTCTACTCTGGATTTATTTGAACTCTTGTTTGATTACATTTTTGAAATGATACTACTACCTCATTCTGCTTTTAAAGAAAAAAAAATATATTTTTCAAGAAGACTTCATGTCTTCAGCTTGAATCTTAAGATATCTTTTTTTCTAATTTAGTATACAAATAAAATAATCATTGCATTATTTTGATTCATTTAATTTCTATTACATAATTAAGCTATTTTAATGAAAATTCTCATACAAATATTTTATTTTCTTCGTTAAAAAAATACACTTTCCTATGAAACTCACTTGATAACACCATGGAGTTCTACATCTTTGTTTACCATCATTTGTTTCATCACTCATTTTTGCTGCCGTTTTATTTAAAACTTGTTCCCATCTTGGCGTATAATCTTTCGTGTCATCATCGATCCAATTGTAATCATCTCGACAATGAGTTATAACATGTTTAACACGTCGATGAACACGACAACTACTTTCTTTTACACGCAATTGTCGTATTCGAGGTGCACCAACGCGCATTGAAACACGACTTCCAGTTGTTAATTTTTCTCTCCATGATAAACTCTTATTGTTATACCATGTTTGAGCATAGAGGCCTTTCAATAAAACATTATCACAATAATCCCACCATGTTGAAAGTGAGTCAACACCATGAAAATCATCTGTAATAAATAAATTTTTTGTATCACGATATAAACCATAAGAATTTGTATCTCGTGCTTGATAGGAGAGAAATAATAAGACAACTGTAAAAAATATATAAACAACTATTTCACGAATGATTTCTCCCATTTTAATTTCACGTAGCCGTTGTTCTCGAGCTCGAGCCATTTCAGTTGAATCAATTGGACGCAAATCAAATAATCGAACACGACGTTGACGAGCTATTTCTATTAAAAATATAGTAAGATATATAGTTATTATCTGTTTGCAATAATAGTAGGGTCTAAGTTTTTTTTTAAATATAAATCCTCTAATGTATTTTAGAATCAAACAGAAGGGACTGAAATGATATGATAGATACTTAGTTCAAGCTCGAGAAATTTAGATTAATTTGATCCGTTTCATCTATGGTATATGGGAATTATGCTAATCAACAAGAAGAAAATGTCGACCACAATGTCTGATATCTTTAGAATGAATAATGTAATTTTAAATAATTAAAATCTATCACAGTTTACCTTTAATTTGAGAATCATTAAAACCACCATTATCATCATTTTCAGCCATATGATTATTTGATACTAATGCTCCTGTAAACGGATCATTGAAATCAAGTGTTTCATCATCATACGGACGACGAATAAGAAAACTTATAATTGCAGTTATAATAAATACTTTCAATGGATCAATAACAAGTATCGATTGACCAAATGAAAGCATCATTGTCATTAACCATTCATTAGCTCTTGTGGCACCCCATTCCAATGAATATAGGATAATAAAGAATGCACACGTAAGGATGCTCAATGCAACCACTTAACAAGCAAAAACAGAAAAACAAATCTTAGTTCAAAATAAATTAAATTAAATTCGTTTATCTTCTTACATCCCCATGCAATGTAAATCGTCCAATATGGCAGTGTTCTTGTTGTATCTTCAACTGAAGATATTGCTGCAATACGTTCTATTTCATCTCCTTCCATTTTTTTCGATTGTTTTGAACGATTTTTGAATCGTGAGAAAAATCTAAATATATATTTATTATTGTGTTTCTTTCTTTTTGTTTGACTGTAATTTCATCAAACACAAACCTTGATGTTTTTTCACGTTGTTCATCTTTTTCTAATTTTTTATTTCGACGACGAGTTTCTTTCAACTGATGTGTAATTAATGTTTTTTGACTATATTTTGCTTTACGAAATAATGTTACAATAATTAAATTGATCGGCAAAACAATTAATGTTCCAATAAAACTAACCCACAGTTGAGCTAATGTAAATTGAACAGGACCAATTTTCATTAAAACACCAGCTTTATTTTCAGTTGCTTTTGTATCTTGTTTATAGAACATGGCATTTGATATCATCGTACAAAATAATAATGATATACAACATGAAATACGTTGTAAACGTGTAAAATTACTTCGAACTGGACGTGAAAATACTGAAAACCAAAGATGACCATCACTAAATTTCTTTTTAACTGATTGAGTAAAAAGATGAGCAAAACTTTTCAATTCTTTTGATGATGCTAATGGAATAACACGATCCACAAGACCATCACCTTTCTCAACAGCTAACCAATTATCACAAAGAAAATAGCTCCTAAAAAACAAGAAATAATTGGAATACAGCTACACGAAAATAAATAGAATAAATACTTTTCTCCAGTTTGCAAATCCATAACATTGATCATATTTAAATACCATGATGCTTTCTCTTTAATACCAGAATTATCATGCCAAACACGAACATAAAGTAATGGACCAAGAGGTGATTCAACGCTCATTAGAAAATTTCGAACAGTTCCTGATTTAAATTCCTATTCAAAGAAAATATCATCTCTAAATATAAGTATTCGTTGTTGTCTAGCAACAAAACGTAAGATTTCTGCAGAAAAAAAAATAGTTGTGGATCTTTCATTTTCTTTTATTGCGGCAACTCATTCAGTTAGAAAAATCTAGAGTATTATTTAAAAACTTCTAAATTTCCCTGTCAGAAAACCAGTTTCTCTGTATCAGGCTAATTGTTTATATTTCACTTGTGTCTGTGTTTTACAATATTTTTCGGAATCATTTTTCATGAGCAATAATATCCTTTTTTTCGTATTTTTATCTCAGCTAAATGAGTTAGTCCACGATATTCAGATAAACAAGCATTAATTTAGTATTTAGGAAATTTTTTTTCTATTCAGCTGTGAATATTCGTCGAAAAATGGCTAAAATAAAAACTAAAAAAGAATTAGTCTGCCACTCTCATGATCAGTATCTTAGCTCTATATTTTAGTGTTTATGTAATAGAAATAGTGCAAGCGATTTAAATAACATATAATAAAATCATTATGAATATTTAAGTATTTAAAGCAGAAAAAATTCTAAATATGAAATATTAGTTGTGTACACACTTACTTGAATTTTTCCATCGGATAATTTTCTTACGCCACTATCAGATGATTCACCAGACATAACAAAACTTATATTTGATGTTGAGCCAGCTTCTTTACCAACACCTGTATGAACTGTGATTAAATAATGGTAGGTGTCAATGGGAAGATTATCCATCAGTGGTGATGCTGTCCACTGAAAAATAAATACACATATTTTCGTAGTACAAAAAAAATATTTTATTAATTACAAAAACTCTTAAGAACCGTTTATGAATTAGATTTGGTTCGCAAAGAAAAAGTATTACAAGCTACTTTGTTCTCATGCAAACAAATAGAGATTAACAAGCGTTTTACAATATTTGAGATTGTATAGAAATATTTTAATTATCAAAAGTACTGACTCATGAGCCATTGATTAAAAAGAGATTTTTGTTTTCTACAATTCAACTAAAAACTTCATCCTTGTAAAATTTCACAGCAAATTTAATAAAGTAAATGAGGATTATTTCACGACGTTATTTTAATAAAAGATTTGCTCTTCAATAACATACTTTAATTAAATCTTGTTTATCTGATCTGCGTGCCCATACCGCTGCAATAATATATAAACCAAGAATAACCATTACTGTACTAAATACAGCTGCATTTTCATGTAATTTTTTAAATTTTAGAAAAACTGTGCTGAAATCAATGGTATTTGGTGGCACATAAAAGTCACCGCCAAATGTTGTTAAATGTGTGCAAAGACATTCCGTGGATTTTAATGTTGTCAAGGGTCCAACCTATATAAAATACATTTTATATGCCAATACTATAAATTTTTAAAAACAAAAACTAATTTACTTCACATCCTTCTGAACTCCAAACATATCGTTTTTCATCCCAATATTGACATTTTGATACATACATATTTGCTGTATAACTTGAATTGTATTCTGTTAAATTCATTGATATACTTGCATCTAAAATTCATCATCATATTTATTAAAACCAAGTCTGTTAGCAGAATTCAAGTAAAAACGAAATGTAATAAAATATTTACTTAGTAATCTAACGCCAATAATATAAGTACCATTACCAAAATGAACACCCGGTGGTAAAAATACTGTATGTCTTAATTCATATTCATCTTCTGGACTAAGATCTGTTTTGTTAGTTAAAGCTGTTTGATTTGGTAAAACGAAAATTAAATCAAATTTTGATTCTGTCGGTGGTTCTAATAATGTTTCGTTTTCACCATACGAAATATAGACAGCATACGTATCCATTGGTGAACCGTTAGGAGCAGCATAAATTGATAATGTCATATTTTTTTCTGGCAATTCAACTTTATGATATTGTAATGATGTTCCATGTAATTCATGTTCTTGAAATTTCGGTCGTTTATCAACTGGTCTTGTTAATCGAATTGCTATGGGTTCTGTTGAATTTGTTACTGGCATTTCTGATCCATCTGAGTTTGATAAAACAATAGTTATAACACTTCCTTGTACGTTGGAATTTCCATTTGCACTTGCATATGGATTATCTTTTGATTCAAGAAGTTTAGTATAAATATTTGATGAATCAGAATCGGAATTCAAATCAGAAAAACTAGGTAAACGAATACTTGTATCACCAGCTGATATACTAGATTTACCTGTAAAGAAAACACATAGTTCTAGGTCTAGAAATATCGCATAGAAAAAAAAAACGATTGTATACCATCAGGAGCTGCTTTTGAAAAAGACATTGCCATTGTTTTACTTTCAATTGTTTTTGTTTCATTGGTTGTTGAACGATTAGCTAAAGCATCACCAACTGTAAATAAACCACCAGCACTTCGTTTAGCAATATTTGAAGCCTAAGACGAAAAAACAATAATAATTTTGTGAAGATAAACAAAATAAAATACTCGTTCTCGTCCTTCAACAATTGTTTTCTTTTCGTCTTCTAATTTATGTCGAAATTCTTCCCATCGTTCTTCGGGCAGGGTATCACAATCATCACAAGAATCATAAAATGATGTTGGAGCATAAATAACTTTAGTATCGGTTTCATCATTGTCAGCTGCTTTCATGTCAGATTCAAGATTCTATATAATTAGATATATAGTTTTTTTTATATGATTTACGTAAAACATAAAATTAATCATAAGAAATTTATATTAACCTCAATAACAGCATCAGGATCATTGCCTTTATCTTTCGAAACAGTTTTTGATGCAGCTTGAAGAACGTTACCACCGACGTCCATTAATGCTGAAAATAAAGTAGTACTTTCAAATAATCGTAAATGAAACAAGATTATAAATACATGAAGCAAGTTCCGTCACTGTATTTTCATCTGCTGATTCCATTTCTCTTACTTTGGAGCCCACTTTTTCAATAATACCAGCTCCTTTTTCCTAAAATTCATATTTGTATAATAGAAGTATAAAACAAATGAGACAGTAATCGAACTTGATTTGACAATGGCATTTGATCACTATTTGCTGTTACTGTTGCACTAGCTTTCAAAGCTTTGTCGACCATACCCGGATCATTTGCTGATTCTAAGACTGTATCCATCGATGATAACATTTTTGATCGCATCTAAAATTAGATATGTTGTTATTGTATTTATTTCATTGAAAATTGTCTTTTAAATTTACAGCTGACATCCGATCATTGATTGATTTTGCTTCGGTTTCATTCATTTCACCCATTGTCTATATTAATCACAATATGTTATACAATTAAATTACACAAATGAAATTTTTACTTACAGAATTATCACTCATTTCATTAAGTTTATCGGCTAAACCAGAAATTAATGCTACTGCTTTTTGTGGATTGGCTGCAGCTAAGTCATCTAAATTACCCATTACTTCTTCTAATAAACTTAAGTCAGCTGTATCAAATACATAATTTATCTTTTTATCAACTTCTAAACGCGAAATTAATTGTCGTCCATCAGTTACATGCCGAATGATTAGTAGGAAATAGATTGACCCATTATTTACTTCAAGATCAGTTTCAGTCAGATTAAATCTTTTTGTTTTTGAATTAAAAGAAATTGTTTCTTTATGCATTTTACGTTTGGTTTTTGGTATAAAACATTGATTTTCATAGATTTGAATGTTTAATTCTGGACGACGTGTGACTAATGTTAAATTATTCCATTGTATAGACCAACTATTAAGATTTTGTGGATTAGTTGATGTTGGTCTTGATGCACCCAATTGAAGTGTATTAGGATAAAATATGGATGATTGAATATCTTCTGGATAACATATTAAAGTAAAATTAAGTTTACGACGATCAAATTCAGTTGTATCAGGATCGTTTGTTGAAGAATAAAAATCTAAATGAACTGTTTGACCATCAATTGTTATTGTTTCATTACCACCGAAGGTTGTTACCAAATCTGAACGTATGATTTCAATGGGTTGAAGAAATTGTCGAAAATCAACTTGATTTGAACTTGTAGTAACAGTAAACACAGCTAAATAATAACCATGTGGGAGTGAATTTGGTTCAATTGTTAATGTTGATTTTGGTCCAAGTTCAGAACAATCCTTTGAGAGAAATATTTCTTCAAAAGATTCAGCGATTGAATTTGAATATCGTTGTGTACGAGAATATTTCCAGTGAGTTGAATCAATGGATAAAAGATAAAATGAATATATCAGATCATTATCTGAACATGGTGTAACTATTACGGGTTCAAGATGATGTTGAAGACTGTATGGTAAAAATAGTACAGGTGATGATAGAGTTACATTATTGATGGCATTGGGTGATGTTAGAGAAAATTGTTGTTCTAGAAAACATGTATCTTCAGGCTGAACTATACCTTTCACGATGGTTACTGTTGGACATGCAATTTCAGCAGTAAGGAATTTCGAAGATGGTTGAACGAACGTGACCTCAATTTTGTATGTGCCAGCTTTTGTAAATCTATACAATAAAGAATTTTATTTCTTTTCAGAAATCTTAATTGATATCATAGTTATATCTATTTTTTAAAGTACGTCAGTATGAATGCGTTTTATAGATAGATACTGTCACAACCCGAAACTAAATAAGTCTGATTTACTTTATTACAGGTATAAATGCCATTTTGTTTTTACATACAACAGCTATTCTACGTGTGTTAACGAGTCTGATGGTCAATTTAATAAAGTTGTCAATCATTTCAATTTTTAATCGCTAGAAGTATCTTGGATAAAGTGCTGTTAACTTAAAAATGTAATAGAAGTCTCATTCATAAAACTCTTACTTTACATCATCTTTCATTTGCATTCAGTGTATATTTGCTGTTCTTTATGTATATAGTCAATATAACGGTAGTGTGTGATTCACATGAATTCTTTAGTCTTGTACAGACTGACAATTCTAATCATTATTTTATTATTTGAGTACAACACTTTTGATAAATCAGAGAATAGCTCGCGGCTATTGATCTTCATAATTCTTTAAAGATAACTCAAGGAAGAATAGGTCAAGATGATATAGAAAAATGTGAATATATTAAGAATTTAAAATCAAAAGAATTAAATGTTCAAAATTTTCATATGCACTTTTTCTAAGAATTTCAAAGTTGTCAAATTAGAATAAAAAAACATGAGGATACTATATTGATAAACTGAAGGAATCGTAGTAAAAATTTACAGCATCAAAATTCAATTAAAAAATGGTTGTAAGTCTGAATCTAATTGGAAATTTTCCTATTCATTTTTAACTCCTATTTATTTAACAATACTTGTAATTCAAAATTTCACTTACTTATATCCAACTTGTATTCGATGTTTACTTAATCGTTTCCATTGTATTTCGTGTGCACCATCATTTTTCTTTACCATTCGATTCAACTGGGATGTTATTATTTGTGCATAACGTATTAAAACTTTCTTTTCATTTCCAAAATCAATTTGTACATCGAAACCGATACCATTAATCCACTGAACATCAACCCAAGTGAAATCCTCATTGACAATAGCCATTTGGTTTAAAATATAAACTTGTGGTTTTGTTGTTATCTCTGTTCCAACAGTAAATGTAGTTTGTGCTTCACGTATTGTTGGATAATCTCCACCACGTACATGTAATGTTTGTCTTCCGTATGTTGTTATATTCATATAGAATTGTTCAGTAAAATTATTTGATGGAAATAATTGTATGCTTTCAGTTCGTGTTACATTTTTTACATTTGCGTCCACTCTATCAATGATAGTTAAAGTAAATAAACCTTCAAATGGTATATGTTCTAATGCACGAATAACAACTAATGATAATTGATTAACATCAGTACAATCTTCAATATCAACTTTAAATGGTGATAATGGTTCTTCAACATCAATACGTATTGATTGATTTACTAAATTAATACGATTGATTGCACTAACCAATGGATGATATTGACCAGGTTGTGCATAAGTACAATTAGCAACAACAATTGGAGATGCATCAGTTATTTTTGGAATATGAATAATTTCCAATGGAGTGTTTGGTGTATCACAATCGAATATTATTGTTAAATCTAATGTAGGTTCAAGAGTAATCGAATATTGTATTGACTGGCCAGCTTTTATTGTTGTTTGAGATGCTGCAATGTCTAGCGAACGTATGGCGGGTTGAACATAAAGATAATATGCTTGTAATGCAACAGAATCACATTCAAGTTGATAGAGATGTTTGCCAATAGGTAATGGCTGAAAAGACGAAAAATTTTATGCTTTCAATTTTAACATGATAAGTCATCACATTAAGAGTTAATGAGAATATTCTATGAATAAACAAAGAAATATTCGAAAGAAAAAAATACAGGTTCACTCCATTTTTCTCTCTTAAAATATTCATAAATGACATATGATCTACTATTTATTATGCAAAAATATTTTTAATACGTTTCAAATTAGTAGCATTGGTTTGTTACGGTATGTAGCTCCATAGGGGAACAACCAGGATGAATCTCAAATAAAAAATTATGTTTTTAATGTACTTTTATTCATGGAAGTATAATTCTTTCTACAGATATAACTTTTTACGAAAGTCAAACACAATTCACTTCATACTAAAAATCTATTCACGAAATACCTAAGGACTGAAATGCGAAACAAAATCCAACTGCTTTTTCTTATTAAACATCTAGCTAATGCTTCTATTCTTTTAATATACATGCACTACGTCTTGACTATATTTTCATTTTCAGCATCATCAATATTCAAGAAGAAACTTATTCGTATATTAGACCGGACCGTTACTGATATACATACATTGATCATATATTAACAGCTCCTGAGGCTGTCTAGAATGCAACAGAACGACTTCTTACAAGGGAGTATTTAGCCCTGTGAAATGTCATTACTCGAATGTCTGTTATGATCTCTTCAACATGGTGAATGAGTCCAGATTTTTACTCTATACATTTTATCATTTCCGTTACATTCTATGGAAAAATTCTTTGACAATTAGATGTGAATAAATTCAATGTCTCCCTAATGAAGATCTGCTCATAAGTTTGTTGCTTTATACATAGTTAAGTTAGAAATCTTGTTCGATGATATCAATTATTACCTCATTTGGTATAACTTCCAATGTTTTCTTTCTCCAAATCAATTTCATTTTGTCATTGGTAATCGCATTTTTTAACTGTAAACAACTTGCATGTTGAAACGAATAATCTTCGCGTGATATTAAATTAAATCGCGATGGTGTTGATGATTCCATCAAATCTTTATAAATAATCATTTTTCTATTCACATTTTCTCGCCGAACTGTTCGTAATAAGTATGTAGTATTAGCACTACGTTCATTATAACATCGAGCTGAAATGTTATATTGTCCATAACGAGTATAATTTCGTGCAAAATAAGCTGTATAATATTGATGACGACTTGTACCATTTATTTGACGGCTTCCATCTCCATACTCAATTGTGCAATTGATAGGTACACTTCCTAGAGAGAAGCAAAAAGAAACGTTTTGCAAAACAAAAACAAGAAGTTTTAAAAAAATGAATTAATTTACCAAACGTTTGTACAGTAAAGTTTTGATGCATATGACCATTCCGATTATCAGGTGAAAAATGAACAAATTGTAATGGTAAATCAGTTTTTATATAAACAACATCGACATAAACTGTACGATATTCAGCCATTTCATGATTGACCATTCGGCGATAATCAGCACGAAATTGAACTTTCTTTGCACCTTCATTTTTCCATGAGAGATTAACCTGTTTTTTTTGTGGAAATAATAATATCGATTTTATTTAGGAGAAAAATAAAAATTAATGATATGATATAACTTACGACACCAGCAGTAATATAAATTTCACTTGAACTTGAATTAGTAACTTCTTGACCTTCAATATCACCATAAACAGTTAATGACGCAAGATTTCGTTCATTTTTCACCGTAACTATAATTTCAACACCTTCATTTATTTGTGCTCGCGTTCGGCCATGAACAAGAAAACTTGAGTCAGCCAAACGAATTTCAAGACCTGCAACAAAACATTTATTTTTATTAATTATATAACAATCTTTGTTTTGTTGAAATTAGTGCGAATTTCGTTTTTTACACATAACTATCATGAGTATTTAGCACAATCAACCTAAGTATCGACATCGATGCAACCTTTACGTGAGACTAAATAGTTATTCCTTGATAAGATTTCAATAAATTAGCTGGTTAAGATTCGTTTGGTGTGAGCCTAATCACATAAATGTTCTTCGATACACTGATAATCAGTGTACCTTATCGAGGAAAAAAGTAATCGTGACAAGATTTTCTTTTCAAGTATGAAAAGGCTAGTGAGCTGTGTATAAATAAATTTTTAACGATTGCATACCGACTTCACTGTCTATCAATTCGATAACATTCGATACGGACATTACATGCCATTGTCCATCATTGGAACATTGTGCATCTGATTTTAACGTTGGTAAAGGACATTTACAAAAGTTCTTCTCATATTTAAATGAAGAATCTAATTCAAATGAACTTGATATACATCCACATCGACCATCTGTCAATGAATAAAGTGCAATCTATTCACAAAAACACGAATACATAAGTCAAATTATCCCAAAAATAATACGAGAAAATTACGAACCTTCATTCTTCGATGATGACATTCTTCTCGACATTGTTGCCATTTGTCACATTGCTCAGGAATCATGTATTGATGAACACGATCATTCTCCTTTAAACACCCCATTGAAACAAGATCGGTAGAAACTAAACTTATATATTAATCCAATTTAAAACAGAAGCAAAAACAAAATACTAACCATTAGCAATTTCTTCTGCCGATAGAATTCTCTCATAATAAAGAATTTCATCAAATGTAACTAAACCCGTATCATTTCCATAAATGACAGCTAATTTTGGATGAAAATTATCATATTTAAATACAAATACTTCGGTATAATTTTCTATTTGTGTTTCTTTATAAAATTGTCCATCAAAAAATATTTTCATTTGATTATGATGTCCATTAGCAGTCGCACGCTCTTCAATTGTTGTTAAAACGTCAATCCATTTATTAACTTCTAGATCAACTTCGATTTGCCAATAATAAGCGAATTCATCGTTACGAAATTCTTTTAAACCGAATTCAAGATAAGAAGCATTTTTTGATTGATACAAATAAATTAATATTCCGTCGCCATGTGGTTCGTGTGCACCAGTACTAAATAATAAAGATTTACGTTCACGATCAATGATTGGAAATGGATTAAGACGTAAGTTAAATCTTAATGACCATCCATGTGACGAGCATGTTGATAATTGTCGAAAGCATTTAAAATCATAATTTGATATTTGATAAAAACCATCGGCCTCAGGTTTTTGTTGAGAACGATCAATAACAACTTTCCCCTCTAGTGAAAAACGAATGAATGTAAAAACTTCAACTAAAATATAAACATACCTTCAAATTGAAGGGAAATATTGTTCTGTATGAAGATTATCACTAGAAGAAAAAGAAGCCGGATCTTCATGTTACCCAGAATTATGAACGCTGTATGTTTTCTTTCCAAAGTGAATCGACTGTTGTTCGCCTACTGATAGAAATAACTGAATGATATAAGAAAAATATTTCATGCTATTTCTTTTATAAACCACTGGAAAAAGTCATAGCTGTTTTAATCATGGTATGATTAACTGCGTAAGCAGAGTGCCTACAGAGAAATAACATTTGACACAAGAACGACGTCATTGACGAATGTAAAAGTAAGAAAATAATGAACATTATCCATTTGGGTATTTGGTTAAAGTATAAGGTTTTGGTGTATTGGGAGATTGTCGAACAAAAACAATTAATTTACTTTGAAACAATAAAGAAAATAAAAATGATATGGCATAGCACGAATATGAATGTAAGGTCATATAAACTCCTGATAAAGCGTCTTTTTTCTTCATTAAACAATAGGTTATTCAAGTAGAATCATAGTGAGTGAAAAAGTTACTTAAAAATTAAATTATAGAAATTCATTCACTACATGACAGATAAGAATTTTGATCTGAACTCTCATGTTTCTTCTTACTGCACGATGTCGTTTTAGTTTAGTTTTAAAATATTTCACTTTGCAGTTTATGTGTATTCATTTATTTTAATTATACACCAAGCACATTGTGCTCGTTTAAAATATTCTAAAAGAGAATAAACAATGATTAGAGTAAAGCTATCCTATGTTAACATTGTTTTTACAATATTGATGATTGATCAATAGTTTGTTATAATCAGATGACAATTTTTTTTCTCGAATATTTCCCCCTGAAATATCTTAATGAACTTAAAAGTATATCAATTAATGGTTTAAAAAGATCATAATAGATTGAACATACTTATTTATTTAATAATTAACTGCAATATGTTGGATTTGATACATAAAATGGATGTGACAATCATATTGATGCTTTGTTTCGTTTCAGAAATAATCAAATAGAATGATAATAAAATTAACGACGATTTCCAATTAATAATATCATAACTGGTTAGAGCTGTTGGAGGAGACACAAAAGTGTTTTACAAAAGATTACCAATGGTTATCGATTTGTGAAATTTTCCGTATAGAAGATCTTTCATGATCAATAACTCGATAAAAAAAAGAAGTATTGTTCATCGACTGTGTGTCAACATCTCAATAGATAATACCACATATTTCAATATAAAAACAATATCTCAAAGTGTTATTTATTAACGAGATTCATTCGATTGAAGTCTTCCATCTTCATGTTCGATGCTCATTCTTTCTATCGGTGGTTCGTGCTAACAGAATTCACAAACATAGCTAGTTCATATAACATTTTAAAGTCTATTTTAGTTTCGTCTTGTATTTTGATATAAAGTTTACGATGAAAATACGTTGACTGTTGTACTGTTCCTTATGCAATCCATGCAGTACTATTTTTATCAGTTATCTTATTATAGAATTATTTCAGTCTTTTATTTCGAATAAGGATTTATTCAGAATATTCCGTTCAATTAATTGTCCTGATAGAATCAATTGGTTCAAAATAAATGATGCTTCAAAATATGATGAGAATTGTCGTTTTGAATGCTTGATTTGCTTTTTAAATTAGCGAAATTTTAAATTCCAGGTCCAATTGGTTTTATCTGTTACACTTTTAATTACGACTATGTGCTTATTCACCATTTAAATGTATTAAGATACTTTTATCGTGCTTCGTTGTTCTATTCTTGGGTAGAAACTTTTCGTAAGGTAATGTCCTAATCAATTTAATCCTGAAGGCTACAGATTAAAATCAAAAGGAATAATAACTTCATTTTTGTTAGTTTGAATCAATGCATTGAACTCATTTAGAAACATTTCTGATGAATAAATCTGAATTTCATAGTTAATGGGATACATTTAAAAAAAACGCACCTACGATTACGTTAGCTACGTTCACTCAATAGTAGAAGAAAATGGAAAAACAGCGATGATTTAACAATAGGTACGATGCATCCAAAAAAAGTCCTAATAGATAATATTCGCTATAGCTGTATGTTTATTTTTCGTTGGAATAATTTTAACGATCATTAGTTGATAAATCTAACTTGACGAAATCATATTTTATTCATCATTGAAATGTATTGAATAAATTTTATTTGTAGATTTATAGACTAGTAAGTGACTAAAATGTTATGTACAACGGGTAACAATGAAAATCACTTCTTTACTTTTTCGTTTCAAGACTTAAATGTCATGTTATGAGAATGCGATAATTTCAGACGGCCGTCAGTGTAATTATCAATGAAGATATTTCATAGAGATTTATATTTGATTCCAAATGGATCGAGCATTTTTTTTTTGTAGAATTTTCTTTAAACAATTTAAACATGATATTCACTACACGAAGAACAAGTATGAATGTAATTAGATACTTATTGGTCACCTAACTACTGCGGTAATCATGAGTATAATTAAAATAAATATAAGATGATTTAATTATGAACGATCTGATTTAAAAATCAAATTGAATGTGGTGCTGCTGTTGCTGTTATCAGTATGGTAAAGTTGTCAGAATCTGCTGTCTTTCAAAATCTTTATCTTTTGTTCCAGAAGCATTATCTGTATAGACAATGCTTATAATATAAAGTTAACTATTAATAGTTCAATAAGTTTACTATCGGCGACATTAAGTTAATTTTTTCTTCAAATAGTCATGGAAACGAGTATAGTTATGTTGAGTATTGATCCAAACAGAACTCAGATTTTGATTGGTGAAGATACACTTAACTATGCCGTTTGTGGCATTGTAACATGATGCATATTTTGTTTTTGCCGTACTTCATACGTTCAAACATTATATTTATTTGTCAATCATTAGAGAATGAGCATTGTTTTCGTGTATTTTTTCTTTACATTAACACAAGAGTACAATAATTTATTTTTACTTTAGTGAGTTATCGTTTTTCAAACGGCATTTCATCAAGCTTTTTCTTTTCTGTTTTTCTCCGCAAACGGCGATTACTTATAATATTTTATTCTTGCTTGAACACATATGGCATCGACTATCATAAATAAAAATACTGTTCCGATTTCTTTAGCTAGTAAATCTTTTTTGTACAATTTTTTATATTAAGATTTACTCTACGTATTTCACAGTGATTGAGGAATCTCTTCGGCAAATACCCTCAACAGATTTTCAGGAACTCAAATCTTCCGCTAAGCCGCCATTATGCTGTCTTGCTGTACTCGAAGGCGTTGGTATTTTACTCAATCCAGCAAAACAACAATGGGAATGGACAGATGATAAAAACCTAATGTCGGGAAGTAAACACGAGTTTTTACAACGTTTATTTGATTTCAACAAGGATAACATTAACAATAAACAATTAGAAAGACTCAAATCAATTTTAGATCGAACTGATTGTCAGCCAGCCGATATTGCTAAAATCTCGCGACTGTGTTCTTAATTATGCATATGGCTTGGAGCAATCCTAGAATACTCAAATCAACGGCAAATATCTAACTGATTGCTCAAATGAGTTAGCTTGTTCGTATTTATGTATATTGTATATGCTTAATTAGCTAATAAATATTTTATCTTAAACTTTTGTTTTGAGTGAAAATAAATAAAATAAAATATTTATTGCGCAAATAAGAAGGAGTTTCCATGAGTACCTCTGACGAGCCCATTATATGTAAATTGCGATATTTAAAATAGTGACTATATGCGCTCTATAACATTTCTGTCACAACAAATATGAAGAATATGATATTTTATTTCGTAATTTCTGATCACAGTTCACCATGATAGTTTCATATACTCCTACATGTTATTCAAAATCCCTAAAATAGTTACTGATATATGGCGTAAAAATTGAAAATCTACAATAAAAATCACGAGAGCAAATCAGAAATCAATTTGACCAACACCAACATTAAATCATCTGTTCAACACTCAATTCTATTACATTTATTCACCTGAGTCACTAATGTCAAACTAAGGGGGTGGGGAGCGTGTCTTTTGTACTTCCGTACTTGTTAGCGCTAATATGTATAAAATGAAAAGGATATAAAAGGAATGAAAGAAATATATATTAAGAGTGAAAGAGACAAGCAGTGTCACTGATGTTATGTGGCAGAACAAAGAGCAAGTGAACTTCGTAGGACTCGAGCCCACACCTTCCGCTATTCGGAAGGATGTCCAAATCAGTTAGATTAGAAGAACATCTTAATCTTCGTTTAGCGTTAGTAACTTACATCACTAACGCTAACAGTACTCTTCGGTACTTTACCTGTACTCTCTTGTACTTCCATCGTACTTCATAAACATTTTGACGTACATAAAGTCGCACTTTTCCCCTTGACAATTCTACAAGAAAATATTTATCTACTAAAATTCATCTTACACAATTACGATGACGAAAAAGTACCGTCTATTTGTGGAGTTGATAAAACGCGTAACCAACATCCGCCAAATATATTCATCATTGCATGTGTCATAAGTCCAGACGGAGACATCAGCAAATGGCAAGCACATGCAATGGATTGGGCGACGGCTACTTTATTTAATAAAGGACAAGAACGAACATTAGATGAATATCAGCGACTACGGAAACAAGCTGGTTTTGATTACCAACAATTTTATCCACCTCAAGTACCACCAGAGGTGCAGAATCTACCCGTGTGTGCGTACGGCCGTGTGGGAAAAATTTTGCAAACCTAAGCATCAGGGGAAATTTTTGGAAAAATATTTTCTCTTCTAAGCGTGCAGGGGCAAGTATTTTTCCAAACGAATCTTGTTTTATTTATATGTGCATCGATCATATCATGCATCT